GTGTCTTTGTGTGGGTGCCAAGGTCAGGGAGCACAGTTCAAACTGGCAGGAGGCACACGGACAATTGTTGGCTCAAGGAATCTGGTTCTAGCCAGAAACCAGCCTGAATTTCAGAAGAACTAAAGGAGCAGGCCAGCTGGGATTTTTTCCTCTACACTACAACCTGGTAAAGGGAACAATCCAAGAGGAAGAGATAACAATCATAAATATATGCGCACCAAACAGCATCATACATAACTATATAAAACAAGTATTAACTGACATGAAAAATCATCAGCACTAATACAACTGTAATGGGGAACTGCAATCCCACTGTCACAAATAGATCAACAAAAAGTCAACAATGAAATATCAGAACTGAACCAAAATTATGAATAAATGGACTTGGTAGATGTCTATAGAGTGTTCCACTCCACAACACCAGAATATATACATCTTTTGCTGCACATGGGATGTTCTCCAAAACAGAACACATACTAGCTCATAGAACATGCTTAAGTAAATGCAAAGGAATTGAAATTATCCCATTCATATTAGCAGACCATAGTGCAATGAAATTGGAAATCAATGACAAAGAATCCTAAAAGTATTTTTTCTAATTTTAATATTAAATGTAGTTATGCTATTGTACCTGCACACACTTGTGCTGATAGTCCACTCTAATAACTTGCAAGGCAAAGATGGACTATGGTGTCAATCCCGCAATCCACCAGCACTTACTAATCATTTGTATGAAAGGGTTTAGATGAATGGCACAATTTTTTTTCACACTTACTCAGAATGCCTGATTATAATTACCTCTTCCCCTATCTTGCTGCTGTCTATCCTATGATAAGACTCCCTACGTGGAGGCACTTTTGTTTCCACAGCACAGATATTAAGGAAGTACAGCAGAATCCACCTGACTCGGATTTAAAATTCATCTAAAGTCAGGTGGTTAGAACAGGAAATAAAAACAGACAAGAGCTGGGAGTGTAGTTCAGGGGCAGTGGGGAAGCATATGCTAGCATGCAAGAGGCTTTGTGGTCCATCTCCAGCATATATATATACATATACATACACATACATATATATATACACACACACATACACACACACACACACACATCACATATCTTAAATTTTATTTTAGCTTAAACATATAAAAAAGTAAATCAGACATATATGTTTAAATATCACATTGTTTCTCTTAGGTGAGAAGAGTAAATAAGGACTAACTGCACACTTAGATATAGTTAAGATACTAAATTTTATCACAATTTTTTTAACCTCAGGGAAGAAAAAGAAATTTTAAAAAATCAAGCAACATAACATGAGGAAAGAAAATTAAAAGCCAATATGCTAACTCATGAAATAGATGTAAACATTCTAAAAACGTAAGCAAGCCAAATCAGTTGTCCCAGGAATGCTTGGTTAACCTCATTTACAAATCAATATAGCTGATCATATTAACAGACGATCGCTCTAATTTTATGAAAGTCTCTGAATGTTAATTCAATATCCATTTATGTTTGAACAATAAACAAAATGCTTAACAAGGAAAGAACAGAAGGAAACTCCCTTAATTTCACAAAAGATATATTTAACAAAGCAAAAAAAAAGCCTACAAATATCATTCCTTTTTTTTTTTAGTACCAGGGATCAAACTCGGGTCCTTGTGTTGAGAGGCAGGCACAGAATCACTGAGGTAAATCCCCAGCCCCTACAAATATCATTCTTAATGGTGATATTTGAAAGAAATTTCTGTTGTGATCAAGAACCAGACAAGAAACAAAACAATATCTTAAAAATATCTAAGATAAATAATGGTTAAAGGATAGACAAACAGGTCATGAGTACAGAGAGTACATAAACAAAACTTTGTATATAAACTTGATTTATGACAGTAGGGAACTGATCAGAGAGGAAATGAAGGACTATTTCAACAGATAGAGCTAGTACAAACAAATGCCCATGTGGGGGAAAAGTGAAGTTATATTCCTTATATCTCTCTCTCTCAAAAAAAAAGTCAACTACTGAAGATTTAAGTATTAAATATGAAAGCCAAAACAATAACACTTTTAATGGTTATTGGCAAATGTAAGGAAGGATAGCTTTATGATTTATGGTTTAAGAAAAGTCTTTAAAGAAAAGAAAAAGAAAAAGAAAAGACTTCTTGGCCACGGATTTAGCTCAGTGGTTCCACCTGCCTGCCTGGCAAGTACAAGGACTTGACTTGGATCCCAGGTACAGGAGGGG